TGCAGTAACACAAACTAATGTTTCTATTAGAAAACAATGAGTTATTCCAAAAGTTCTTGTATCTCAATAAAAAGAGAGAAGTACCTCAGTGAAGCCCGCACCCAAAAATAGGTTCCGGACGGCATCCAAACAAAAGAAATATGATCGTGTTCCATCTGACCGCATGTATTCCCTGAACCCCACTCGCTTGTCTGGCTCAAAGCGAAGCATGGTCATATCATAGAGGCCTGATTATACAGAGTTCAGTCATTTCCAGCACCTTAGGTTCGTTTTTAAAGATCAACTGCCACAAAGGACTACAAAAAGCTAAATGTTTATGTTCCCAAAAGCTCCAAACAAAATAAGTTGGCTAGATTGTTCACTACCGTAATCTCTAAAGAAAACCATGCCTCCTGGCTTCAACACAATAAAACATTCCTTGACAGACTTTGGCATCCTTTCAAGCGGTACTGCTGATAGAGTGAATATCTGACATGACACATCAAAATAACCCACTTACATAATAAGAGGTCATTCATATTTAACTTCCAATATTAAACGAGTCTATGATATATTCAATAGATTAAAGATAAAGTCGTTTGTGCATGTGTAAAAGAATCCAGAGCGCTAACATAGAAACATTAAACATCACTAAATGCTAAACAATAATAAACATCAAGTCTTATAAAGTTAAAGTAAACACTAAACCAACTGATAAATAAGAGTTGCAAGTAGACTAAAAACTATATAGGAAACCATTTAGATCAAAGTATGAATGCATTTATACTCCAAATATAGCTATGTAGAGATATGGGGCGTTAGCCCATTTTGAAACGAGGAAAAGATAAGGAATCTGACATAAGAAAAAGAAGCTTTACAAAAGCAAAATGCTCTGGTTCAACAGCTTAAAAAATTCCATAGGTAGTATAAAATGCAATATGAATAGAATACAAAAGTGGAAGGAATGCAGTATACGTTATTGGAAAATGAATAAACAAGGAAAATAATCCTTCAAAAGGGTAAACTCTTCTCAAATGGGTTCCAAGACCCAGTTCTGCAAACAATATCTCTGAATGACTTCTCTGCACAACCTTCATCCATATATTACCCTACTAACTACTTAACAGATGCATAGATTTGTATCAATCTAACACAAACACAAAACAATCATAAATAATGAGTACTTTGTGACAAACAATGAAGCAAGTGACAAATTAAAGCAACACGTAGATCACAATTAAGCAAGAAAACAATCGATTAAATTGAAATTAAAGCTTGAATCCATGTACCTTCCAAATGAAAACTATGAATTGTAGAGAAAAAGGAACATTATGCAGCATAATGAGAAGACAATTTGCGGTCTAACTACTTCCATAATACTCCTACTAAGAATGTCACTCAAGATAATTGCACAAAGATTAAGAAAGCTATTCATTAGTCTCAATAATCATAAAATATGATTTCATTTTACCAAATTTCCCTTTACCAAACTACTCAAAATATTGTCACTACATTAATGAGATTGCCTTCTATCATTCCACTCAGTGGAGATACAGAGAGACAAAGATAAAGTAGGGACAAAATATTAAATCTTTAATTTTCTAAAATGACAGATGAATTAAAAAAATACAAAATTTTTCAAAAACACATTTTGAAATGGTGGGCCTGTGTGTTAACATATGTTAATATGTTGTCAAGAGACATCGTGAAAGAGAAACGTTTGAAATAATGTGTTACTTTAAAACTCAAGGTAAAGTATACGACTCTAACATAATATCAAGGTCAGGAAGCACCATATCATTGTACTTAAGATAATTTTAAGGAGAAAAGCTCAGACCAATGTTACAAAATCTACTCCGCCAACACAACATTCAACTTCTTCTGATGAATATGGATTGGTAAAATGCAGTCCATTACCCTCTCTGACATCTGGACAGAAACAGAAAGAACCAAGTCTAACGTTTTATGAAGCCATTGCATAAATCAGAATAAATCAGCAGCACAAAGGTATAGCAAAATAACCTGACAAGCAGTATGACAGCTTTTGCAAAAATTTATCCCGGCAAGAGTAGCATGCCAACCAGTTTGGGAATCCATTAGTGGAAAGATCACAACAGAATATACGGAAACGAAGCTGAAAGGATACATCTGTGGAGGCATTACTTATAATCTCTTTAGCTTTCTCAAGAGTCTCATCACTACAATCGCATGCATAAACAATCAAATCTTTGTTGGCCCTACACAGGAAAGCTTCATAAGAGTCTGCAAGATACAAGAAAACAAGGGCAACAACCCCCAAAATGACTAAAAGTAAGTTATTATTTTTTAATCTGCATATTCAAAAACTGTAAATGACCCAAAACGAATCTTGCAAATCGCAATCACCAGCTCCAAAACCAAGCAAAAGTTCACAAAAGCCAATTAAATGCTAAAAGAAAACAATTCAAGAGTAATTAACTAGTGAGTTGAGGTGAGCGTTTGGGAAATTCATTTCAATTAAAATGTTCGTTAAAATTGTTTTTGCAGTTTATGTATAGAAATTTTTTATTCTAGAGAGAAGTAAAATTCAGTGTATAATTTTTTATCCAAAGGCAAACGCTGAAGCGTCTTAAAATCACTTTAGTTGGTATTTCAACACTATTTGAGTTGAATCCAAGGACAAACTTAATCTACTACGATAAATATAAAATAAGTAGCCGCTACGTGACGCAAATACGAAAAGAGAAAGAAAAAAACAACCGTAGAATAGGAAGCGCAGTGCTGCCATTGCCGCAACCAACTTCCAAGAGCTTAGAGTTTGGGGGACAGGAGAGTAGTTCTGGGAACTCCTTCAACAAATAGCGTCTCTCCTGAATGCCATGAAGCCATTAGTTTAGGAAATTGTTGAAAGCAAGAAAATGCCAAGAGGAAAAGGGAAGCGACCTTGAAGAATCTTCCAGAGGCGTGACGGAGGTGAAATTGATTCCATGCTAGGACGTCTGATTCCGGCGGAGGCGACGATGATGAAGAAGATGCGGATTCAAAGTGGTAGGCATAGGAAGGGTTTGCTTCCACCTCTGCTCTTAGGTCTTCCCAGTGGAAGTCCTTGCAGAAGTATTGTGCTTCTGCTTCGCCTTCCCTACTCATTCTCGCTTGCTCCATTTCGCTCTCTTCCTCGTTGTTATTCTCCTATGCCTTCATTCCAATAACCCTCTAAATTAATCACCATTTCCCACTCTTCACACATTTTAGGGTCCGTTGAACAGTAGATTATTTTAAGAAACAAAATCACAAACACTCGATTCGATACTAAATAACATTCAAATAATATTTAGAGCGAAAATATAAATATATATTTCATAAGTGTTACCATATAATAAGAAGAAAAATAGAAAAAATAACAATATGTATATTATTACATTTTTTATTTTAAAAATGGTTATAGTCTTTTATATAAAAGGAAAGATAACGAAGTAATAATATATTAAAATCATATCTCTTCTTAATTTATTTAGTTTTGAAAAAAAATATTTTATTTATTTCTTAAATATGTAAAGAATAATTTGAACTTTTTACCTATGCGTTGAATAATCATATTTTAAGAGATTTTAATTTGATTGTTTATGTTAACATCCATTAATACATGATAATTCATACAAATTGTTTTATAAATAACATTAATCCTAGTTTGTGTGCAAACTTCGCATTTATTATTTTATTTTTTGTATTTTTTTTATATAAGCCTAGCTAGAAAATAGGGATGACATTCTTTCTCTCTCGTATAAATTAGAGATGAATCTAAGATTCTTTATAGGTTAAAATAATTTTCTTTTGTGTATTTATATACTTTTAACTAAACACTAAACACAAGTATATCATAAAACCACGGTTAAGAATTTTAAATATATAAAATTAAAAAAGTAAAATATTTTTTTTTCAAATACTTAATAATAATTTTAAAAAAATCAATAATATATTTATACACTCTTATATATATTCGTCACTGTCATAATCTATATAATATTTACAAATTTATTATACATCTTTTTTTTACTCGTTTTCATTATAATTGACGTAATACTGAGATGGTAAAATCACCATTTTACATTACTAAATAGATAAAGTATTGTTTGAATTTGATTTTTATCAAAAATAATTATCCGTCAAATTTTATTTATTTCTCAATTAAATACTAATAAACTATGTTTATAAAAAAAATTGTAATGAAAGATGTTTAAAATTATTTATTTGATTCGTACATGAGAAGTTGAATAAAATGAGAAATTGAGAGTTTACAAAAAAAAATAAAGAAATTTAAAAGATTAAATTAATATCAAATTATTACATAACAAAAACTACTCATTAAATTTAATGAGATGATTTTTTTTTTTTATTTCCAATCAAATAACTAAGAAACTTTTCTACTTACAAAATCATGGTAACAAAGTTCAAGAATATTTAGAAAATAATTTTATAAGTTCTTAAAAAATTTTAAAAAATATTAATTTTTTTCTCTTAATATTATTTTTCTTTAACTTGAAAACGTAGTTCTTTTCACAAAATATTTTCTTTATATTTCATAACAATCATAAAATTATATTATTTTGTTTTATTTTTCATTTAAAGAACTTGTCCGTACAATAATAAAAATACAATTTGTAAATTTTTAACGACACAAAATAAAACTAAAATAACATAACATTTTTTAATTATTATAATGTATTCATATTTTTGTAATCTAAATTATACTTTAAAATTATTGTAATAGATTCTCACTTGCACTTTGTATGATTGTTCCAAGTTCATATGCCATTTGATGGAGGGCAATAGGCTTTTGAATCAATCCATTTATTCCCACTAGTAAGCATTTCTCCCTCAAATTTTCTTCTGCATTTGTTATGAAAGCTATAATCAAAGGCCAAGTATGATTATAAAACTTACGGATCCTCTTTGTCACTTCAAAACCATCCATTTTAGGCATGTGAAGATCTATTAAGATGACTTTGAATGAGTTATTAGAACCACTTATAACATTTAGACACTCAAACCCCGATGAAGCGAGATGTTACTTGACAACCAAGCTTCTCCAATAGCTTCTTTGTCACAATCCTGTTTACAACATCATTCTCGACTAACACAACCTTAAGTTCTTTGAATAGTGGGTTTGAATAATCTTTAGATGCAACCATGGATTTTTCAAGTGATGATTGTAAGTGAATCTTTAAAAGAAGTGTCATGCCTTGCACCAAACCTAAGGTGTTTGATGATATCCAAATGTTACCCTGCATCATCTGCATTATTATTCTGATTAGAATCATGAAAAATTCTAATACCTTCATGAATTAAAACATGTTGCATAAGGTTCATTTATTGAACATTGGGAGATAGGCAAAACAAGAATTTGATTTTGAGACAAAACAAAGAGATTTTGGTGCCTAAGTTTAAAAATTATATACTTAAAGTATTATAGTCATTATTGTGTATATAAAAAAATACTTTACCAAATTTTTAATATACATAAGATGTCACTTTACCACTTTATTAACTATATACCCATATTCCCCTAATGCATGAACATTCTCAATGGTTGACAAATGTTGTTTCTCTTATTTGATATAATCCTCATTTTCTTATGTTGTTTTTTCTAGTTAACTTGTTGGAATTCATATATGTGAATAGGTGATATTACTTATAATTGAGGTTAAGGTGAATAAGCATTTTGCAACATAGAGAAAAATAATTTATGACAAATATGTTAAACTAAGGACCTTGTAACTTTGAATCCGATCACAAAAAATTATCAATTGAAACATGTGCAAAGAGATTTGTACGTAAATATATGTGTTATAGTTATTAACAAGTTAAATGAACAAAATTTCATAATTGTATATTCCTAATAAATAAGAAACAAAATTTACAATAAAGGTGAAATTATCATATTAATTCCTAAGTTACAAACAAAAGTTATAAAATAACATAACCAATACATAATCAAATTGAAGTAGAAGATTCTCTTTAAACATTACGAGTCAAATTAAGCTTTTTAAGCAAACATAACAAACAAGAAATGCTAAGAGGATAACATAATGTAAAAGCATGCATCAATCTCGTTCATCTTTAGAAAAACAAAAAAATCATCAAAGCAAAATAGTAAATATCACTATTTTATAGAATTATAATTAAACTTAGATATCCTAGTAATTATTTTGCCCATTAAAGCTAAAAAAAATGGTCATAATTAAGTTGGTGATGATACATAAAGTTAATATAGACAATGATGCACATACCTGTACCAACTTTTTACACATGTTGAAGTTGAGACCATCCTTACGTTCATTTTTGCTGTATTGTCTCTTACCAATATAATGCATTGTTGAATTTGCTTTATCTGAATGAGATCTATCAATAATATTAAAATCTAATTTTATTGATATGTACCCATTTTGACCACATGATCTCCATCTTTGAGAACTTTCATCATCCTTATCTTCATCATTTTTGTCAAGAAAAACTTGAAATTTGAGAGTTCCTTTATCTTTCATATTTAATAAATAGCCAATCACGTACATAATCACTTGAAAAGTCCTTACCTCATCACCTATAACTTTGTTAGGCAAAGATTTTTGCACATCAACTTCAAAACCAAAGCCTTCATAAACACATAAACACTTAGCAATGCAAGAAACTTCCCTTAGCATGGAATGTAGAAGGAAAGGTTTCATCTCTAATTGAAAGCCTTCATTTTCATTATTTGAAATTTTCATCACATCATTAATCAAATTTGAAAGCACATGACCAACTTTCAACATTGTATTACCAATACCTTTTTGCTCGGATCTTAAATTATCCTCTTGAAACAGAGAAAGCATCCCTATAATAGAATGTGTAGGCCTTCGTATTCCATCATTCATCACCTTTTGAAATGACTTCCTTGCCTGAATGGTCATTATTGCATTCTTTTTAGCTTGCTTCAATGCTTGGTTCTGCTCTTCTAACTTTTGTCTCATCATTTGAGACTCTTCTAAAATCGATGCATGAGATAAGGCGACAGCCACTTGATCTGCAACCACTTCAACTATCTTCATCTCATGGTAGGTCCAAACCCTAATATTTGAACTTGGTAGAACTAGAACCAATATACCATAACATGTGTTAACCAACTCTGGAGTCCCTCCTTTAAAATTTGATACATGAAGTAATGGTATGCGAATAGCTGCCACAACACCCAACTCCTTAGAGCCACCACCACTTACTACTCCTAAAGTAGAATCAGATCTCAAAATTTTCACTCCTTTAGTCTTTCTTATCTCTAATACATCAAGGTCATTCATAGGAATGAAATTTTGAAAATTCTTCCTTGAGTTTTTTTTCAACTCATGAGTTAAGTGCATCTCTTGTTGGTCATCATTAGGCATCCAAACTACACAATTGTGCAAATTCAATGTCTTTGAAAGCTCAACAAGGGTGGTGTACAAGATGGTGTGCTTATCAATAGATTTCCTAATTTCCCTAGTGAGCATCCTAACATGCAAACTTGCCTCCTTTTGTTTCTTCATCAACCCAACCTCTTGGTCCAACTCCATCACATTTTTTCTTAGGAAAAACTCCCTAATTTTGGTTTTGAGGAGAAGAGGAATAATAGGGGGAAGGGTCAAAGTAGTCGCACAGGAAACTAGAGCAGTAAAAAATTTCGCAATGCTTATGTAAAATAACAATTGAAAGGAGGGAGCGCCATGATAAGAAAACACATTAAGTAAATGAGTTAAGCCACATAAAACTATGAAGGCGATGAAGTGAAAGAAGAGCAATTTGAATGGAACATTTGTTTGACTAACAAAGTAAATAAGTTCAATGGGTATGGAGAAATATGCAATAGCAATGAAAAAATCACTAACTTTTTGGCCAACCAATACACTATATATGCTCCAAATCCCTTCCCCATCCTCACAATTGCAGTTGTCAGATCCAACATTAGTGGAAGAAACATATAGAACAAGTTGACATAACAACAATACCCACAGGTGAAGATGAAAAAGAATTTCCATGGCAACAAGTTAATGAGTTTTGAAAATCACATAAAAAATGTCTTACGATTACAAATCTTTTAACAAAAAGGTTAAAGTATAAGACAAACTAGACTTAAACAATTTTGCAAAAATATAAAAATGTAGTATGAAAAAGGGATGAAGAACACAAACAAAAGTATCCTAAAATTCTTTTAAGATCTTTCTCTTTCTTTTCTTTAGACCTCTTTCTCTCTCTTAGAAAAAAGAAAAGTAGGACATGAAAGAAAATAAGAAGAAACAATGGAATTTTATAGAACGAAACTTAAACATAAAAATTTTATATAAACCATAAGTATAATCTCTATGAGATTTTATTTAATGTTTTGTGTTCTATTGTGCATTCGCGTTTGACCTGATTTTTTTATATCTTAAATACATATTATAATATTTAATTATATATTATGTTATACATAATAAAATATAAATTTGTAAGTTTTTTTTTAAATTAAGATGTTTTTAATTAATTAAAAATTTAAATTCTTTTACACTAATTTTGTGATAAATAATATTATAATAACAATGAAAAAAATAATAAAACTAAATATAAAAGTTAGGAGTCATTAATTTGAGATAATTAAATTTATGGTAAAAAAGGTCTATATTCATTGAACTCATTTTAATACAAATTGACGATGAATATATGCTTTAATTTTTTTATTTTTCTTATTTGATCTTGGTTAAATACATCAATATAATGGATGAAAATATTTATTAATTAAGAATTTTATAAAAAATATTTATAAATATATAAATGTAATTAATAAATTATTTAATAATCTATATTAGTAGGGGTAACATAAATGTACGTGGAGAGAATTTTTTTATCAACTATTAAATGTATTTTATTTTATTAATTGAATTGATTAATTTTGTAAGTTTACCAAGATAATTACAATCTTTACCAAACCTTATTATATATTTTATTTAAATTAAAAATAATAAATATTATTTTACAATTTTTTTAATGTAATAATTATTTTTATTTAATTTAAAAAACTTCTAAATATTTCGTAAAACAAACGAAAAAAAGTAAATTTTTTAAGAAAAAAATGTTATCCATACTCTAATATATATTAAAAGAATATTTAGTTATTATAAACTTAATTATTTCTTTTCTTGTATATATTTATTTTATTTATTTATATTCATTATCATTAAAATATTCAATCAAGTTTGTAATGATTTCATCAATTATGTATTTAGTATGGTAATAAATTATTTTGTATGTCATATTAAATTCGCAGAAGGGAATATAACCAATGGTTTCCAATAATATTTTTTATTTCTTTGACGAAGAAAAAAAATCCTCAATTTGTAAATTTACTATTTTATTTATTTAAATAAGTCTCAATTTTAGTGTGTATTGTAAAAAATCGGTTGATGAAGTTCTAAATTCTCTATCGGTGGAAAGAATTTAAAAATGACTTAAGAATCAGTTATTAAAAAACAAATTTTTTACTAACATTTTTTTTAATTTGATAAATTGTTAAATAGATAAATTAAATTTAAAAGTATTTTTAATAAATATTAAAATAAAATTTAATAATTATTAACCACTTTTAAAAAAATTAAAACTATGTATTTAGCTATTCAATTTTATGTAATTTTTTAATAAATATATAAAGTTATGTAATTAAATTATCCATTTGTATTAACTAATAGTTAAATTAAATATTAAATTAAAATAATATATTTTTATAATAAAAACCTATTCAGTTTTAATAGTGAATAAAATCTTTTATAACTACATTAAGTTAAATATTAAAAATACTCAATTATTTTAATCTTTTGAACAAAATTAATTTAAAATTATATATATATATATATATATATATATATATATAATTTAAAAATAGAATAACAAATAAATTGGTAAGATTTTTTTCTTAAATTAGGATGTTTCTAATTAACTAAAAATTTAAATTTTTTACACTAATTTTTTGATAAATAAACATTATAAGATGGAATAAAAATAAAAATAAATAATAACACTAAACGCAACCGTTATGAATCATTAATTTAAAGATAACTAAGTTTATTGTGTAAATTTTAAATTTCAATATTCAGTTAACTCATTCTAATACAAATTGACAATTGAATATTTGTTTTGATTTTACATTTTTATTTATTTATTTTATCTCATCTAAATACATCAATATAATAAATGAATGTTTACTAATTAGGAATCTTATCACAAATATTTATAATTATATAATTATAATTAATAAATTATTTAATAATCTATATCAATAGGAAAATTATTATTTTATCAACTATTAAATGTATTTTATTTTATTAATTGAATTTATTATTTCTTTAAGTTTACCAAAATGATGTACTATCTTTAGTAAACATTATTAAATATTTTATTTAAATTAAAAATAATAAATATTAATTTAAATTTTTTAATGTAATAATTGCTTTCATTCAATCTCTTAATAGTTTTAAAAACTTTGGAGTAATTCATAAAACAAACTAAAATCTAATCTCTAGAAAGAAAATAGGTTAACTTTACTTTAATATATTTATTTTAAAAAAAATCATGTATTTATTATAAATTTGATGACTTTTTATTTAAATATCTATTTATTTTATTTATATTCTTTATTATTAAAATATTCAATCAAGATTATAATTATTTCATTAATTAGAATTCATATATTTAGTACCCGTAATAAATTATTTTGTATACCATATTAAATCCATATAATTGCGTGTCTCATTAAATTCGAAGAAGGAAGTATAACGAATCGTTTCCAAAAGATTCTTTATTTTTTAAATGGATAAATCTAAAAAGAATAATTCTCAAATTTGTAAATTTACTATTTTATTTATTTAAATAAGTCACAATTTTATTGTGTATTATAAAAAATGTTTGATGAAGTACTAATTACTATCTTTGAGAATAAACCTGAGAATGACTTAGAATCAGTTATTACAAAACAAAATTTGTAGCAACTTTTTTTTAATTGAATAAATAGTTAAATAATTAAATTAAATTTCAAAATATTTTTAATAATTATTAAAATATAATTTAATAATTATTAGCAACTTTTTATTTTAAAAAATGTGTATAGCTATTCAATTTTATGTAAGTTTTTTAGTAACTATAAAATTAAATACTTAAATTATCCATTTGTATTAACTAATAGTTAAATTAAATATTAAATTAAAATAATATATTTATAATAAAAAATTTATTCAGTTTTAATCGTGAATAATATTGTTTATAACTACATTATGTTAAATATTAAAAATAATCAAATATTTGAATCTATTGCACAAAGTTAATTTAAAATTATAAATATATATTTATTTTAAAATATTTCCTTTTTAAATAAAAATAGACAAACTTTTAATATTTAAAAAATAACTAAACATTGTTTTCAAAAATAGCTAACAATTTAATATTCTAAAAATAGCTTAATGTTTTAAGAAAAAATAGCTAAAATATATAATAGGTAAATAAATATACCTTTTTAATAAAAAATAGCTAAACATTTAGTATTTTTAACAAATATTTTTTTAAAATAGCTAAATATTTTAATAAAAAACGGTAATATTTAGTATTTAAATAAATAGCTAATTTTTTATAAAAAAGTAGCTATTAATATAAAAAATACTTTTTAATTTTAAATTTAACTTTGTTAAGAAATTTAAATTGATTAGCTATTTTAAATATTCAACATGTTTATAAATAATATTAGTTAGATTAAAATATAATAATTTACTCTATGATAAATAAAATATTATTTTAATTAAATAATTAATTTAAACATTAAATAATATAAATGGGTCATTAGTTACTTAATTATATACCTTTACTAAAAAATTAATACATAAAATTAAATAACCCTACTCATATAATTTACAAATATTTTAACTGATTTTTATAAAACAAAAAAATTATTAACAAATATTAAATTTTAGTCTAATAATAATTGTAAATTATTCCAATTATTTGAAACTTTGAAGATAATTTATTAAATTAAAAAAATGTGCTTGAGATATCTTTTTTTAATAATTGATTTCTCTAGCTATTATGAAAAATAAAAAAATCCAATTCAGAAATCGGTTCCTCACCAACCAATTTCTCATTGTATACAGTAAAATAATTCTCAGATAAATAATATATATCACGTGGGTTATTTGAGTAAACAATTATTAAAATAATATATTAAAAAAAGAAAAGTCAGAATGATGTGCAGGATGATTGAAGGAAGAGAACAGTGCATCTCTTTAGTTAAAAAAAAGGCAGCTTACCGTTATGCTTAGGTCAGATTATAAATTTAAATTAGTTTCATATTAAATTTAAATTCCTCTTATCAAATAATGAATTATGATTAATGAATTAATTTATCAATAATTTTTTTATATATTTTTAAAAAATATATATTTAATAATATGAATAATTTTTATTTAAATTATTAAAGGATTCGAAACCAATACTTTAAAATTGGAGGTTGAAACTCCAACCACTAAGCTACTATAATTTTTTGATAAAAACTTACAAATAAATTATATTTATATACAAATAAATATATATATATATATATATATACATATGTAGATATATAAATATAAAATATATAAATATAAATTTATTTATATATTTTGATATATTTATATAGTTATATATTTACATATTTATATATTGGATGTTAGAGGTCGTGCTTGAGGGTGAAAGTGTGTGTCAAGTGGCAGTGACGGATCTTGACCATTGATCTTTGGGAGACCAAATAATATATTATTAATAAATAATAAATAAATATAAAAAGAAGAAAGAAGATGAAAGAGTAAAAAGATAAAATTCTAGATATATACTTAAATATATTAAATGATCATTAAGTTTGAGGGGAACAAAATCATAAATTATATGAGAGTTATAAAATTGAGGAGGAGTTGAGAGGATAAAATTGTAAATATACAAGTAAATATATTAAATGTTCATCATTATGTTTTGGAGCTAAAATCATAAATTATATGGGAGTTACAAAACTTTGGGGGCCCACGACCCCCTCGACTCCCAAGATTCGCCATCGAAGTGGGTTTTCAAAATTTGATGCCAAATTTGTGAGCGAGTCTTTTTATATGAATTTATAATTTAATGATAGAATATAATCTTTATAATTTATTCATAAAATGATATAGAATATAATCTTTATAATTAATTTATATAATAATATAAAATAAAGAAAAAAATTATTTTATTTCATTATATAAATAAATTATAAATATTATATTCTGTCATTAAATTATAAACTCATATAAAGATATTCACTCATAAATTTGATATTAAATTTTGAAAATCTACTCGACACACTTTCTTCCTCGAGTAGAAAATGAACTTAATTACGAATTATATTTTTTCTTCCGGTTAAAGGCTACCACATTAGAGATAATTAGTAATAAATATTTTTAAAAGTTTGATACATTTATTTTATTTTATCTCTTTGTCATATTTTAGTGCACACTTTTATTCATCATTAGGAGGAGAAAAGCTACTTTGAATCTCTTGTATTTTTGTTAGATAGTTTAAAAAAAAAATGATATAATTTTCTTCGTAATCAAAGATAGTAAAGAGTTTTTTTAATTAAACTTTATGTAGTTATGTAGTTAGTGCCATAGATTTTTTTATGAGTTAAAACATGATGTGTAATTTATAGCGTTAATTAATTATAAAATAGTAATTTTATATTCAAATTCCTACGTTTATTATCATTGCAAGGGAAAAAGTACAATCTCTTGATAATGATTCAGTATTATTATTGCATAAAGAAAACATTAGAAGGAATGTGATTAAAATAGTTGTTTTTTTATGAGTTGAAAAAAATAAAGCAATTGATCTTTTTAAAGAAAATATAAATAATTTTTATCACTCACTAAAATATAAAAATATAATTTTCCTAGTGAAACAATTTAAAAAGTTGTGATTAAAACATGTTAACGATTAAAGTACTATTTATTTTTAATTACAAAAAATAATAGATAAAATTATGAAGATTTCACGTATTTTAATATAAAAAATTACAAATTTAAGATATTTTTTTCTTATAAAAAATGAAAAAACTAAAATTTTTGAAGATAACCGATTGTGTTAAAAACTAATTAATATGTTTTTCTTTATTATTATTATTATTATTATAATAAATAATTTAAAATTATGTTAAAAAGTATATTAAAATAATAATAAAATTATTAATAATAAATAAATTTCCACCTCTTTCTATTCTTATACCTTCACGATTGTTTCTAATCTTTTATTATTTTTTTTTCATTTGGTGGATTCTCTATTTAAATTGTGACGGATTTAAAATTTTATTAGGAGAATTTATTTTTTAAATAATATAAATTAATAATAGTTAGACCCAGTTGGGATTTTTTGGAGCTGAGGGGCGTCACTTTCTAAAATTTTGTAACTTATGATTTTGATTCCAAACTTAATCAAAATTTAATATATTTACAATTTTATCATCTCATACTCTCCTCAATTTTATAACTCTTATATAATTTATTATTTTGTCCCCTTATATTTAATTATCATTTAATATTAAATATATATTTACAATTTTATCCTTTCACCATTTCATCTTATTTCTTCTTTTTATATTTATTTATTAATAATAGTTAGATTATCTAATTGTGTACTTTTAACTAAAATAATGTTTAAATATGAGATAAGGAGATAAAATAATTTTTTTAATAATTTTATTATTAATAAAATGCACCTGGACACGTATATATATATATATATATATATATATATATATATATATATATATATATATATATATATATATATATATATATATATATATATATATATACCCAAGTGGTTTCAAAGACATGCTAAGGAAAATATAGAAGAAAAAGCCATCGAACTACACTATCGTTGGCCTCCAAGCAAGACAAAAGGTACACGGGTGGGTCATGTTTGTAGCATTGAACTCTGTGCTATTTCCATTTCTGAACATTCTTCTCAGTCACTGATGACCCTTGTTTTGTCATTATGTCAATTCTTCACCTAAACACACTCTAAAATTCTTATTCCATAACTGTACACTACAAATATTCATTGAATAGCACAGTTTGGAGCACGTTTCAGCTGTCTCTTTCCTTTTGTACTACATCGAGGGAACTATCACCAAGTTCATGCACAATACTTTTGAACTCAGAACTAAAATTGTTTAGCTATCAAAAAATAATTGACGGTTCCTTTCAATTTATGGTGTTGAACACTACAGAAACTTATCTTTATATATAAAAACAACCCGACTAGAAGATTCTTTTTTTTCTATAAACACTTTGATCAATAAAAATTCCATTTCTCTTCCTCTGACCCGTGCCCTTTTTATATAACTAAAAAAAATTTGAGCAACAAACCAACCACTGCTTTTAACCAGTTTGATTCGGACTCCTGTGTTCTTTCTCTTCTTCTCTCGTTTTCTTCCGTTCAACTTCTCTTATGTCCATGGCATCAACATCCACTCCAAGGTCATCTTCAGAACTAACTATCACAGTTGAACACAATCCTTCCAAATCACGATTATCCGAGCTGGGTATAAATTCGTGGCCCAAGTGAGTCTTATGAATCTAACAGATTATTGCTAGTCTTTTCTTTTAACCTTTTTCTATAGCTTTCCTTTTATCAGGTATTTGGATTGAATTTTTTTTTTCTTAACTGTGCATGATTCGCCGATGAATCTGATAAAATTTTGAGTATTTTCAGATGGGGTTGTCCTCCTGGGAAGTACATGCTCAAATTCGACGCCCAAGAGACGTGTTATTTTCTGAGAGGGAAAGTGAATGTTTATCCAAAAGGTTCTTCTGAGTCAGTAAAATTTGGTGTGGGGGACCTTGTCACCATACCCAAGGGACTTAGTTGCACATGGGAGGTATCCGTTGCAGTGGACAAACATTACAAGTTCGAGTCTTCTTCCACTCCTACACCCTCCTCCAAATGTTGTGATCAGTGATATTTTAATTTACTTTGTTGTTTATCGTACTAGGAAAGGAAATTTGAATAAAGGGTATATAGGCACTACTCACTACTGGTTCGGGAGGGATAGAATTTCTAATCAATATATATTAGGGTTATAACTTATAATATGAATGTTTGTTTCTAATTCAATGTTCAAAGTTGTCCTTGCTAGTTAGGAAAGAAAGAAGTAGTATGCATTTGCACCTTGTGTTTCAGAACATGTTGCGAATCCTATATATATCAGTATATCAGAATAGATGCTTAGTTTTGATGTTTCTGCATGTGATCCCAGAACCACACGCTTGAAAATTTCAGGATTTATGGCATGTGCAAGTATATAGGAGGCAAATATTTCATGCACGCGTATTCTTTATTGTTTAGGAATTGATGCTGAAGATTTGCACCGTTGATGTCTAATTTGAGCCTTTAGCACAGAATAAAGGGTAGCAGCATTACATTATTTTTGGGTGAGGACAATATCTATATGGATCTTTGAGCTTATTTGTTATTTGTGGCGCATAAAAATTGTTTTTAATTTTGACGGTGCATGCCTTTTGTTCTGGGATAAGAAATTCGTTTGTCTTTTTAGGAGGGTCTCCTTTCCGATGGATTGTCTTCTGAAAATTTAATGATCTGTGTTGTTGTCTTTCTTTTACGTGTTCACTTGATTTAGATTCTACTCACTGCGAATAAATGACATTGGAAGCACTCTTAACCCAATTTTCCTCAAAAAATATTTCTTCCTTTCCTCAAATTTCGTCTACCATTCTGAAGTATAAAACAATATAAGAACCCAACTTTGAAACGATGGTTATAAGAGTAATGATATATTCACAAACTCAACATCCATTTAATATATTTTTATATATTATTATTATTATTATTATTATTTTTTCATTAGTAAAAACAATTATTTTAAGATTATGTATTAAATGATTATAAGAACATCTTTACCCCTCCATAATATTTGAAAACTTTATTTTTATAAAATACAAGTTATTCATATGATTAAAACAGTATTTAAACAAAAATCATATATTGATTCGTTAATCCATTTTTTTAAAGACATAAATTAAGATATGGAACTCATTTGATTATGATGAGTCAAGAGTAGAGTCTTTTTTATAGAATAAGAGCATAAGAAATCAATTTATTTTATTATCTTTATCATTATCAAAACATCATTTCTTCCTGTGATATCAATTTTTATTTTTTTTATTAGTTAGTTTTTCTTATATTATAATGTGATTCATATAAAAGACATCTATATATATATATATATATATATATATATATATATATATATATATCGAAATATTGTTTTATTAAAACCAACAAAATATTTTAAAAATATTTTTATAAAGACTAAAATAAAAGAATAAGCATATTTAAAATATAAAAACAAAGTAAGTTTTATAATAATTAATTACGATATATAATAGTATTCTTTAGAATATATATATATATATATATATATATATATATATAATACTTTTTATTTTTTTCCTTTATCAATGTACCCATCAAATAATATTTGCTAGAAGTGTTATATTTAAAGAAATGTAAGTGAAAATAGATAATAATTCTTTTAAAGTTATTTTTAGAATAATTTAATATCTCTACGCACACAAAAAAAATTGTCAAAATTGGTCTACTTCTACATGTTAATCCAATAGTTTGATGGCTTGGAAAAAAATTGACTTAAAAAAAATTTGACCTAATATTTTTAAAATTTTTAAATAAATATTGATAAAAATAAACAGGTTAATTTGGCTTAGTTCGACAGATAAAACTATTAAATACATAATTTTTACGAAATTCACGTTTGATTAATAGATGAGAAAAATAACATTTGATTAATTTTTATTGTTATTTATTTTGTACTAAATTTAAAATAAATAATCACGATAACATCAAATATAAAAATATGATGAGAATGAGTAACGTTGAACAGTTAATTATAAAGTCACACAACACATTACAAAATTTAAAATACAGTATAAAGTTTATTCTTATTAAAGGGCCGGTCCGAGAAGTAGTGTAGTGGCTTAGCCCAAAGAGAAGTGGAAGTGTTGGGAGCGGCAATGGAAGAAGGGAAAGAAGCCGTCATGGTAACACCGGGAGAAGTCTTGGGAAGAAGCAGCGATGTCAAAGCTGGAAGAGGAGCATACACGGCGCTTCACAACAACACCGTTTACGCCTCCCTAACCGGCTTCCGCCGCACCATTCCTCCACCGCCAGACTCTCCTGACCAGGTAGGGTTTCGTTTCCCATTGCTCATTCCAATTTCCTCTTCCAATGCTGTAATCAATTCACCAAATAACCTAATATATTTTTTTCTTGTTAGTTTAATTTGAAGCTGAGTTTAATTTGTGGTACTATACTGTTACTGATTATAATTATTTGTAACATGCAGAGGCCGACTGTTGAAGTAACTGGTCATAAGGCGCATGGACCTGTTCCACAGCCTGGATCTGTTGTCATTGCGCGGGTATATATTGCTACGGCTATGGCTGTGTTTTGTCTAATCTTGTACACTTTTCATTACGCTCATTGTTTTCAACCGCGTGTCTTTTGCTTTGATAGGTCACTAAAGTGATGGCTCGGTCCGCTTCAGCTGATATTATGTGTGTTGGGGCTAAGTCTGCTCGAGAAAAATTTACCGGCATTATTAGGTATGCTATTCTTACCCCCCTCTAAGTTATCATTTGTAGCTTTAGACGGAGTGACTATAGCAAGTACGGGAAAAAAATAAGAAGGAAGAAAAGGACTAGAGGAATTGTAGTCATTAATTGTAGATATTCTATGCTTAGAGTTTCTTCATCCTTGGGTCGAACTTACATGTATATACCTCTATATCATGAATTTCATTTTGTTTGACTTTGGGGGTTCTGATGAGATGAGAGTTGTTTGTTTAAAACAGGCAGCAAGATGTTAGAGCTACTGAGATTGATAAAGTAGACATGCACTTGTCTTTTCACCCTGGCGACATTGTTAAAGCTCTTGTGGTATTGTTACCTTCATTCAAGAATGTTGATTTTCTTTTTCCATAATGTTCTTGACTTAATTGGTTGCTGCTTCAATGCACCTAAGAAAATCTGTTTTTGTTAGCTTTCTCTTGGAGATGCACGGGCGTACTTTCTATCTACTGCAAAGAATGAACTCGGTGTTGTTTCTGCAGAAAGCATTGCTGGTGAGATTCTTTTCATATTTTGAGAATGGAACCCTCATAAGTGGTTGTGGTTGTAGTTTGTTGCTAATTCTCTATAGTTTATGTTAATGACTTGTGTGACTGCTTGCTTGTTTAGTTTGTTGTATGTTACTCAAGTCCTGTTTATTGTGTGGCATTTGTGTTTGACAGAAGTTCCTCTAAGTCTGATGCTTTCAAATTGTACAACTTCTGGATCATTGACTACTCTCCGTGGAATATTATCTATTATATCTTAGGATAGGTCAAGGATTGCTGAAATCCTATGATGCATGGATACGATACGACTATCAAATATGAAATACGATTAGTATCCGATACGATGATACACTAATTATAAAAAAAGTAGAATAGGATATGTATAATATACGTATTTAAAGATATAAAAAAAATTCATGAAACATAATAACTATAAAGATATAATCATGCAAATCTAAATTCATGAATAACTAAAATTCAGGAATCATGATGTGGGTAGATTTGATTTTATTATGGCAGACTTGTGATGATTGTAATTGGAATCTAAATTAACTATGAATAAAAGGAAATCACTAGAGATGATATTAAAAAATTTTAGATTCTACTTCAACTATAGTCTGGTGAATACAGCTTTGATGTTTTTAGTTTTTAATTCATTTACTCATCAATTATGTCATCATGTTTTACATGCCCATTGCTGGATAACCTTATTTATGGCAAGCACTGGAGTAGAATCAAATAATTACATTGTAAGTTGTACACATGCATGGGCTGAGCATCTATCAAGTAGGGATTTAAAACAATGCTTGGCAAATTGAAATGGATTGCTTCATATAAGCGTATGACCTTATGTGGCTGTACATCGAGGAATATTGTTTTACATCTCAATTTGTCTTTTCCTAGAAAATACCTGATTGGCTGAAATGTACCTCAATGTGTTATACATTTTTTCTGTTTAGGTGAAACCATGGTTCCGGTAAGTTGGACAGAGATGCAGTGCCCTTTAACTGGTCAAATTGAGCAAAGAAAGGTTGCAAAGGCTTCAAGCTGACTAGAATACTTCATGAAGCAAGAATCTGTTATCTGTTTTATAGAAATCTACTAACATGCATTGTTGTTAGGGTGAGAAATTATATATAAGTGAACAGTTTAATTTTTAGACGTACAGGAATGCAAGCTTGTATTTTACATTGCAAGTTGGGTCTACTTCTAAAGTAGCACAAACGCGGGATTTTCATTTACTCGTGTTGTGAGCAAGGTTTTTAATTCATTCTAAGACCTAGCTTAATTTTCAACTTGGGAGTGAAACTGGATTCACATTTGACTAGTAGTTCAAATTTAGTTTTCAAGGTAAATGTTGTTGCATATGAACTTGTGGTGTCGAGACATTGGGCCTTGTTTAGTGGATTGCTGCTGCTTGTACGTTATCCTCTTTTTGTTCCTATATGTGGGTATGTATGTTTAACGTGAACTACGTTATCCTCTGTTTGTTCCCATTGTGGTATGTATATATAAGGTGAACTAGTTATATAAGTGGTTTATCATGAACATAGTTTTATGTAGTTGGATTCATCTTATGTACCCAGTAATATGGTGTAGCTTCTGCATGAGATAATTTTTTTCCTTGAGACCTTGCAGCAGCTCAAGGGGCTTTCGCATGCCAACATCAAACCTAACCAATCTCCCACTGTCATTGTGAAACCGGTCTGATCCGTTTATATATAAAGGTTTGCTTTATCATATTCTATTTTCTCATTCTCCTTTAGGTCTATCAGGACCTTCTTTGAAAAAAAGAACAAAGAAATTCTCTTCTTTGTGCCTCATTTAGGTATCATTATATTCTAGAAAGTTGCACTTGCCCGCATGTAGAAAGGAAACAAAATTTATCGAATTGGACGTGATAGTAAATAAAACATCCCAAATTATTTTAAAAAAATTAAGTTTTGCTATTACTGAAAAAAACGAAAACGCATTTTTTATTACTCTAAAAAACTAGTGCGTCCTAGTGTTAATATTTTTGTATTATTGAATTTTTTTTTAAATTATTTTTAATTTTTCTCTCTATTTTTAGATATCATACGTTTTTTTCATACATTTTTTTCGTTTATATATTTGATAAAAAATAATATTATATTATAAGAAAAAACTGACATAAAAAATGTTATATATATATATAAAAGTTCCTTTTCATTGATAATATAATATAAATACATTTTAGAAAACAATTGATAGCGTTTCTATAAGACATGTTATAATATTTATATAATTTTATTTGTTTTTATTGTTAAAAAATGTTATGAGTATTTTTAGTTTTGTATTAATAAATGATGAAAAAGAATTTAAGATAGTTAATTATGAAAATTAATTAGTAATATTTATTTTCTAAAAATTCAGCTAAATTAATTACAACACTAAACCCTGAAAAATATCTTCTACAATTATTTTAGAAGTATATTGAGACATGAGGGAGGAAGTATAAATCTCAGTCACACGGGAATTTAAAATTTTCTGCCGGAATTTCAGTGGCTGACACCGAATTGCGTTGCTTCAATTCAATCCAAGTTGGTAGGAAAAGAATGGCTTCAGCTTCGCTTCAGTTGTGGTCTTCCTCAACTCCTATGGCCCACCGTTACCCCCATCAGTTGGCTTCCCTAACCTCGCTCAAATTCGCCACTCCTATTTCTTCCACCAATACCATTTATCTTCCCAAACCTCTCACTGTGCGTTTTGCTCTAACTGAGTCCGACTCGCCCAAATCCATACAACCTGACCCTGAAACTCTTCTCCAAGAAATTTCTGTAAGTATTTCATTCCCCATCTTTCTAATTTAACCTTCTCTTCATGAAACCTTCTGGGTGGGTTTAAAATTTCAACTAAAGTATACGAAATATTTCTTTCTTATATTATAAATTCCGTTATTCAAGAGTTCATGTGCGTTCTCGTTGCAGGGCAGTTTTGATCTTCCTCCTGATTACTTTGCACAGTTTCCTCAGGATCTTCGATTAGACGTAAGTGCAATGCAACCTTTGCTTTGTATATGTCAGCATTACATTCAATCGTTTCCATTAACAATCAATAGTGAAATAAAGATGCTCCTTTGCTCTGGAATCATGTTCGTGTTTTAAATTTTGTGAAGCTAAACGACGCCGCGTTCGACCTTTCAAACGGACCTGTTTTAGATGAGGTTGGTACTTATTATTGGCTACAATTTGCAACTCCAATTCAGATTCCAATTAATATTGAGTGTTGCAATTGACAATGCTAATGGTTGGCCTTGCCTTTTAGCTTTTTAGTCATCACAGTCAATATAGTTGTGGACGTTAACTTGAAAAGCATTTCATTTGATGTTCTCATCCATCGATTACCTCCAAAAGATGTCTCTACTTTGTGTTACGTGTGTCTGTGTATTTCCCATTTCCAAATATAATGGCTATATTTGTTTAATGGGAATAATATACTTTCTCAGTGTGGCCAAGAGTTGGGAGAGACTTTGCTAAACCTCTCTCGAGCATGGGAACTTGCTGACACATCAACCTCCCACTCTTTAGTGAAAAAGCTTCCTTTGATTGAGGCCAAGTTGACAGGTTCTGCCAAATCAGGTAAACCCATGAAAAGTAACCAATTGGGCTTTAATCAATGAGGTTCTGCCAAACAACCCCTTCCCTCAAATAGAAAGGATTTAGCTTGAAGTGTCTTTGTTCTTTTGGTTGGTTAGCACTTGGAAAGCGTTTAATATCTGCTGGACGAAGGTTTCAATCAATGGGACAGTATGGCCAAGGTGAGCCACAAAAGGTATTTTACTCTACTCCATCTGTGCCGGGGGATATCTAGCTTTGTCATTTAGATGTAATGAGAAAGTGATTGAATTTCTTTGGGAAATAACTAATTGGTAGTCGTTCAGAATAAACGGTTCTGCTCTTTTCTTTTTTCTTGGCTATATATGGAGTCATTTACCCTCTATATTATATAATTTTAATTTATTTTCAAAGTTATTTTTTCTCTCTAGAAACATATATCTTATCGAAACAAAGTTAGGACGTCATTTGGACTAAAAGGGGAACTGCGGATGGGAACCATAAAGTACTCCACTTTAATCACTTATTAAGGGTTATAGTACTTCATAGCTTAAAGTGTGATTACTTAGGCAGCATTTGACATAGCCAATCTTGGACTCTCTGTTTAAAAGAAGTCACTGTGTGTCGGAAAAACTCTCAAAAATAAAAGTAACTTCTTTTTACATAACAAAAGCTTGGTCAATTGAAGAAGCTTATACTTTTAAAAATAGAAGAACAAAAAAGCTTGGCCAAACATGTCTTAATTTCAGGAAATCAATAAAACAAACTAGGTAGGAATCTAATTAGGTGACTTTTACACAAAAAATGGCAAGACAATTATATTAATACATAGAATCTATGTCAACATAGTTAACATAGTTAATTGATGTATTACAATGTTATCATAGATTGCAAAAGCAATGATTGCAGCTGGTAGAGCTCTATCTGCTAGTTCAGTGTCAGCAGTGACAGTTGAAGAACCGAAAGAGGAAACTAGGGTGCTGAAAGTATGTAATTAATTCTGTCTATGTCATTGGCAAGTTTTTTGTAATAAGAAACTATTACTATGAAAAATCACCAACATGATTGCCAATTGCAGTTCGGAGAGTTGCAAGTTGAAATAACACCAGATAAGGCCAATATCGGCGCTGTAATTGGATTTGTTTTTGGGTAAGTTTTCCAAGGTAAACTAAACTTTTATAAGAGGATGGAGACGGGAAAAACTTAGTTCTTGTTTATATTTGGAACCTAGGATTCTTTCGTGGGAAGTTGCTCAGGGAATTCAAAACATTCCTGACAGTTCTTTGGAATATGCAAACGACAATGCTTTGCTGCTTGCTAAGGTGCTTTGAAATAACATCTCACTCTCATCATTTCAACTTACTTTTGTTGACTACTGATATCTGATCGTCAAAATCTCTAAATGTTTGGCTGCAGTCTTTAAAGGGAGCGTTGCTTGCTCTTTTCTATTTCTCATCGTTCTTGTCAGCAATCACGTCAGGGGGACTTGTTTTACTTGGGTTACAGCTCAAATCAAAGAAAGATTGAGCGTTAGTTGCGCCCTTCCCTCAGTTTTGCTTGTAAATGGTGTAGATGCACGTTCTAAGATTGTGAGTAGTAGTAGTAGTAGTAGTATATAACCATCGCATGGTTGGAAAACTATGCATGTAGTAGAAATACTTTTGTTCAACTTGCCCCTAAGCTTTTAAATTAGATCCTTTCAAAACTGTACTGTGCATTGAGATGCGGAAATTATACACGACTAATTTAGATCGTTATTTTTTGCTTGTTCTATTCTTTTAATTGCATTTGGTATGTTTTGTAAAGCTCAACAAAGTTGAGACCACTTGTGGTGAATCTGATCTACTATCCAAATTGTATAGCTTCTATCTTGGTGTCATATATTGGAAATTGAGTTGGAAGATAGGAACTTTTGGTTAGGATCACACCATTCGTCAGCGATTTGGATCTTATAGCATTTTCTATTGGCATTAGGTGAAGACTCTTTTAAATGTTACGTCTTACGATTGAATAATTTTTTATTACATAAAAAATTTCGTTGACATGGCCAAACTGATTTATTTTAAATCGAATATACTGTCTGCAAAATTAAAATTTTGTCGGTCACAAGTTGATGAGACACGACGCCGCTTATTTCAAGATTCATCTTTAAAATACTCAAAGTTTCCTTTTGTCGTAATAATTTGTATGTAATTTCTTTTTTAGCAGTGGAGCTTCAAAGACATAAAATAACATACACATTCCACATCAAAACATAAATTCAACAAAACATCGAGGTCGTCTTCTTTTGGCCTAATGATGACAGTTAATCTACCTAATACAATTTCCCTGTGACGTTATTTATCTTTTAGGATAATACGTGATTTTTAAAATAATATTAGTTATACAAGTTATTATGATACCATTATTTTAGTAAAAACACCTATTTAAGAAAAAAAAAGCTATAACATAATTATAAATGTAACTTTTTGTCTATGTATCTTCAGTCCATGTATTAGAGATTAACTTCTTGCTTATATTATGATTGTTATTGATTTCTTCAGTTTTTACATATAGTGGAAATGACTTATTTTTTTTCAATTACAGTGTTCTAGTTACTGGTAAATTATTCATTGCAGTGAAAATTAGGTATAAGATTAATTATTTTGTGTCTAAGATATACATAGGATAATATATTTATAATTAAGAGTCATATTTTTATATGGTAAATACATATACTGCGACTAATAATATCTAAAATATTTAACACTCTCCCTCAAGCTGATGCATATAAATCATATGTACCAAGTTTATTACAAATATAATTAATTCTAGGTCTTTGACAAGACTTGATGAAAATATCTGCTAATGGTTTACTTGAGTTAACAAACGCGGTCTTAATATCTTCAGATATAATATTTTTTTGAATAAAATGACAGTCAACTTTAATGTATTTGGTCATTTTATGAAAGACAGGATTAGAGCTAATAGAAGAGTAAATTGATTGTCACATATAAGTGTCATTTGAGTGATATCTCCAAATTGCAATTCTTTAGTAATTATTTAAGTCAAACAAGTTCACAAGTGGTTGAGGTCATAACTTTATATTATGTTTCTGCACTAGATCTTGTTACAACACTTTGTTTCTTGTTCTTCCAAGAAATCAAGTTACCTCCAATAGAAACACAGTATCCGAAAGTATCTCTTCCATCAGAAAGAGATCCTATCCAGTCAGCATCTGAATAATAGACAACTTTAGCATGATTATTGTGATCATATAACAAACATTTTTTTAGGAGATCCTTTAATGTACTTTAATATACGAATGACTGCACTCCAATGATTTACACATAAAAGAAATTGACTTATCACACTAACTGCAAAGGAAATATCAGGATGAGTAACAGTAAGATAATTTAATTTTTCAACTAATTTTCTGTAGTTCTCAGGATTTGAGAGAGGCTCCCCCTGATTAGGTAGGAAGTTGGTATTGGGATCCATGAGTATGTCAACAGATTTTGAGTTCATCAACCTAGTTTCTTCTAAAATATCAAATGCACAATTTCTCTGAGATATAGCAATGTCATTATTGGATTGTGCTACAACAATCCCCAAGAAATATCTAAGTTTGCCAAGATCTTTAGTCTGAAAGTGATGACAAAAGTGTTGCTTCATTTGGGAGATGTCATGGTGATCACTCCTTGTAAGAACAATATCATCAACATATATTATTAAATAGATACACTCAATACTTGAGTGACGGTAAAATACTGAATGATTTGTCTCACTGTGAGTCATACCAAATTGCTGAACAACACTGCTAAATATTCTAAACCAAGCCTTAAAAGATTGTTTTACGCCATATAAAGATTTATGAAGACAACACACCAATCTAGAAAACTTCCTCTGAGCAACAAAGCCTGAAGGTTGCTCCATATAAATTTCTTCCTGCAAATCTTCATTAAGAAAAATATTTTTGACATCCAGTTGGTAAAAAAGTCATTGTTGAAGAGTAGCCATGACTATAAATAAGCGAACATAAGTCATCTTTACCACTGGAGAAAAGGTGTTACCATAGTCCAAACCCAAAATTTGTGTGTAACATTTGACCACAAGACGAGATTTGAGACGGTCAATAGTACCATCAAGACCAACTTTGATAGCAAACACTCACCTACAACTAACAACAGATTTCTCAGACGATAATGAGATGAGTTCCCAAGTTTCACTATTATGAAGAACATTCATTTCATCAAGCATGGATTGACGTCAATCAGAATGGACTAAGACATTACCAACGAATTTGAGAATTGACACAGAACAAATGGACAAAAGGCAGGTATAAAAAGTCAGAGTTAATATATGGTAACTCAAAGCAATATAATGAGGAGAGAAATTATGAGTAGAACGTATATCTTTATGGAGAACAATTGGAATGTCAAACTTAGTTGTCGGAGTCAAAGGAGACAAACAAGTTGGCACTAGACGTGAGTCATTTGGTGGTTGTTAAGATTGTTGTCTTTGATTATAAACCCGAAGTGGTGGTGGTGGAGGAGAATCCAAAGGTGGACTAACAGGTGAATCACACACAATAACACACAATAGGAATATTGACAGTAACATATGACAACACAATAAAATAAAGACTCGTTAAATGTGATATCTTTAGAAATAAAATAATGGTTAAGAGAAAGAGAAAAACACTTATATCCTATTTGTAATCGAGTAAATCCTATAAAAATACATTTATGTGATTTAGGAGATAACTTTCAAGATCAAGACTAAAATTATGAACAAAACATATAGACCGAAAAACTTAATAGGTAAGGATGTAGAGGTTAATGAGGAAATAAAAATGAATGAGGAATTTTGTTATTTAGAATCAAATATGACATGCGATTAATAAGATAACATGCAGTAAGAACGACATTACCCAAAAAATGTTTAGGAACTTCACCATAAATTAAAAGAGTGCAAGTTATTTTAACAAAATGTCTGTTCTTGCACTTAACCACCTTATTTTGTTGAGGTGTATAAACACATGAAATTTGATGAAGAATGTCATGAGAAACCATATAATTTTTAAAAGAATGAGAAAAGTATTCACAGTCATTATCACTTCACAAAATTCAAATAAAAATCACAAACTCAGTTTTAATTTCATTAAAAAAAAAGATTGAAATATAAAAAACAAGTCAGAACGATTATTCATTAAAAATAATCAAGTGCTTTTAGAATAATTATTAATAAAGGTAACAAAATACTGAAAACCTAAATTAGATTTAACACGACTGGGTCCCCAAATATCAGAATGAACTACTACAAAAGGGGACGAAGCACGTTGTGAGACACTACGAAAAAATGAACTATGACATGACTCACATAATAAATTAGATAAATTGAACAAATTGAGAACAAGTTGTTGCAATTTGGCAAGACTGGGATGACCTAGCTGAGATGGAGGAGAGATAGAGACTCCATAACTCTACCAACATATATAGAAGGTCGAAAATGATAAAGACCATGAAAGTCCATAACTATAACAATATGTGTAAAAGGGTAGAAATGATAAAGACCATGAGACTCACATTCGGTGTCAATCATCTGTCTCGAACTCCGGTCCTTAGAATTTTTGGTAAAATTAAAGAAATAACACAATCTAAGAGAACGAGTTAGACGAATAATGGATAATAAGTTAAAAAGAGACTCAGGAACATAAAAAACATTATTAATGGATAAAGATGAAAAAAGTTTAACAATACCAATACCATGATGCAAAACCCTAGACCTATTAGTCATTGTAATCGAAGGTAAATTATTTAGAGAGGATAAAGAAGAAAACTAAGATTTGTTCAGTAATATGATCTGTTGAGCTTGAGTTAAGAATCCAAGGTTCAATAGAAGGAGATTGAGTTAGGTTAACAAAAGATGTACTTGTGAGTGCAACAAAAGTAATGGAACTAGAGTTCTGACGAGTCTTATACCAATTCATTGGAAATAACATATTTATTTACGATATAAGATGACGTAGGATCCATAGTAGATAATTGTGGGACAACGAAAAAACCATTGAAGAAGAGAGAGAAAAACCCTAAAAATTTTAAATAGAATGTGGAGACCCCGGTCACAGCAATCTCAATGGTGCGGTGGTTGTCTAGTCGAGACAAGAAGAACGATGTGGTTTCCAGTTTAAATTATAATTCTGACTGCAACAATGATGGTGACTCCAGCGATGATGACAGTGGTGGCGGGGACAACTCTAACGACGATTTAACTCTGACGATGAAGACAATGATAGATACAAGGACAACCAGAAAAAAAGAGAAAAAAAGAACTTAAGCTCTAGATACCATATTAAATATAACGAAGATTAGGTAAAAGGTTAATTTCTATTGTATTTAAAATAAACATATGATAATATATTTATAATTAAAAGTGATACAAGATGATAAATACGTAATGACTAATAATATTTAAAATATTTATATTCATTTAACAGAATCTTGTCACCACAATATAATTTTCTAATATTTTGAATAAAATAGTTA